ATTTGCTTTTTTTTTTTTTTTTTCCCTTAAAAGTAATGCATTCACTAAAATTTTTTGGCATAAAATCAAAGAAAGCAAGTGTAAAATAATTCATAAAACAAAATAATAAGTTATAAAGACAGAAACAAATGAGTCCTAAATGCTAATGGCCATGAATGATTTTCAGATCAGTACCTGTTGTTGCAAATAGCATTTGTATTCATTCCAAAAACTTAGACCCAACTCAAAATACTGTGTGAATCTCGTGGAAGTCAGACTCCTTAAATGCAGTAAGGCAGTTAATTCTTAATTTTCACTTTTAAGCATATACTAAATACTCATTAAGATAAAAAATAGTCAAATTTTGTTCATCATCAAGAAATCAGGAAGATTTTCCCCTGCTTTAAAACATAATATTTTTCAGATGCTTGGCTATACCTACAAGCAAAGAGACATGATATGTTCTTTTTGATATTCTTAATTTCTCCTCCTGCAAAGCAGGTAGTAGAGTTGTTAATAGACAATTTCCATAAACCATGAGCATATAACAGAGGGCTGATGGAGAGAGCTGGTGCTATCACCAACTTCAGGTTCCATCTGTGCTATTCCTTCATACTTGAGGTACTCCTGCTGCACCTCAAATAATACATTTCCTAATGGTATTGAGCTCTCTATACCGGCTGAGGTATCATTATCATGCTGATGCCATGGGGACTGGATCATTCTCTCTTGAATATTATAAACTTTCTCATTGAACACTCAAATATGTCCATGGCCAGTGAATATTTTTCATGATTAACCACAAGATTAATCACGTAAGTGACGAAATAGTTTAGTGTGTCAAAAGTTTAAAATATTAGGTAAACAACTTGAAAATCTCTTGATTTAATAATAACAATTAGACATATTCCTCAATGCTCTTTCTTACTGCTTTGCTTTAGACAGCAATGTGCTGAAAGCCAGTCAAAGTAGGGGTTTGGTGGATTTTAAGGAAGCACTATATCACTCACTGGAACTTAACACTATAATACTTTGGCTGTTGTAGATAAGGTTACCTGGGATATATTTAGTTAGTTTCCTTGGCATTGGGATATTTCACATTTTAATTTCATATTTCTAACCTTCAGCAATTTTTTATCCATTAATTTTCACCTTTCTTTCTTTCTTTCTTTCTGGATCACACAAAACCACTCTCCCAGATTTTCTTAACAGAAGGCTTCTATTAGAGTGATGAAGAAAATCAATCCCTCTTCATCCAGATTGATAACTGTTGTGTTTTAGTTAGCAATGTTGGTAAATCACACTAAAGCAGCAGCTTGGTATCTCTCACAGCTCTGTATCTTCTTCTTCACTTGGCTTCTTCAGTAAGTGAAAGCTTGTGTGTAAATAAATTTGCCTACATAGTACTTGTTTGTTTTCCATCCTTTAACCACTTCTTAATGCTTTATGTTTCTTTCTATTTCATGATTTCTTTCCCTTGATATTAACCTTTGATGTAAAACATGAATGCCCAAAGGGGGGGGAAAAAAAAGAGCCCAACAACCTTAAGTACAATTTTAAATGTCTCAGCTATAGTAATACTACCTTCAAAGGATTCAGTGTATTTAAAACATGATCTCCATATTTGAAAGAGCACACTGTTGATCAAGCTGTGACATTCCAAGGATTCCTCAACTGATGTCTTAAAATGGATTCGGTAATTTGTTCTGTGACTGATGGCAAACTGATTGAACTGAAGCCATATCTGCATGCATTTGCTCTGTACAGTAATTGAAAGAACATACTGTAGTTCTGCTGCAAAAAAATAACTTGCAGCATGAAAGCCTTCTGCATGTTTTCCACCAGAAGCCTCATTTGTGTGGTTAATTATCTTCAGAAATTCTGCTAAAAATTGAGACTGCAAATGAGAATACTGCCTTTTAAATGATCTGAAATACTGGTTAATGATACTTCTTCTTGATGTAGTGATAATACTTTAGCTTTAGCTATATTAGTTAACTTAATATCTGTGGGCTTGAATTTTATCCTTTATTAAGTACTGTTTTCCATTTGTTTTATTTTTATTTTGTATCTGTATTTGAAAACTTTTAATTTCCACATTGCAGTCTTACAGTACATCTAGTCAATCAGCCTATAACTAAAGAGTAATTATTCTGGAAAATCCTTCAGATAATTTCTACAAGAAACTAACTGCTCAGAACTAAGTACCTTTTAAAGAATGGAACCAAATCTGTGAATACACTTGGGAGGCTCACGGGAATTTTCCAGTAATGTAGAGCTATGGCAGTTATTCCTGTGCTCCCTGCTATCCAACCTATGAATCTCTACATCAATAGAAATTTATCATAGAAGAGAAATATAATAGAGAGATCCAACAGAATCCCTCATACTTCCTACATGCACTTGAATGAACATAACCAGAATCTGCATAGGTGTTTGGAGTAAGAAAAATTCATACATGTCATCCTTTGGACCAGGATCTCTTTGGTAGGTCTGACAGCTGTAGCTGCGTGGTGAAAGAGAATAAATTGGTTAGATTTTTTTTTGTCTACTGTACAAAATAAGGGTATTCAAATGAGGGATAGAGTGGGCCCAGTGACTGTTCCTGTGCCTGTGAAACAGGCTTTGTGATCTGAAAATAAGTATTCTTCACCCATCTCAATGGACCATCTAAATGCTGAGACAAAATCTTATTTGTGAGACTTACGAGCAGGATGGTTTAAAACTAAAACCAACCAGCTAGTCCAGCAATAATTAACTAATTAACGATGATATATCCTTAACGTATAAGTAAATATGACTGCAATCCATACAGATAGAAGAACAGAAGCCATATACTTTTTAGCAATGGTCAATATAGTGCTGACTTCCACAGACTTTGCTTAGAGAAAATTCCAATAAGAATATGGAATACTAACTGGGTACCTATTATATCCAGTAGGGATAATAGCATGAGCAATGGATCTGAGCATTTACATATGCCAGTTCAGTAGCTGGGTCCAAATCTGAATACATATCTATGGCTTGGACCCTGACTACTTGAAAACTATTTGCACTCAGATCACATTGTGACCCTGAGAAATTGAAATATTTATGTTGAAAAAGAACTGGATGAAATATTTATAAGGCTATTGTTACAAACAAGAAAAATTATGATATAAATATGATTACACTGTATAAATCAGATAATATCTACCAATATGTGCTTCTTTAAAGACGCCCAACATGATTTGGTTTCTGAAGTACACATAAAAAGAATTTCAATAACATTGTCTTTTCAGACTTTATTGTTCAGGGATACAAGGAAAGCTTTTCCCTGGTTGTAATATTTTCTTTATAAAAGCACTATTTCAGACAAAGTAAGCTTGGCTCATTTAAAGTCCCCACAAGGGACAGATTTGTTTTCAACGATATTTTGAATGTTTTTGATTACCTAGAGGAATGATATCCCAGTTTATGAGATCCCAGCGTGTCTTTATTTTCTGGACAACTCAGTTATTTTCTCATCCTCTGACCTTATTACGATACTGTTTTTCCCTTCTCTTCACTATATATTTTTCAGTGAGAAAGCTCTATATAAATTCAATACAAATCTAGTTCACATATCTGCAACTTAATCAACTGCACAAGACATAAAAATAACTTCTTTTCCCTTATGCCTTCATTCTTATTCTAGTGCAATATCGTTAACCAATATCAAGTGCTATGAGTACCCCTACAGTGAACTTAAAAAGTAAAATTAAAATCCATTATAACCACATCAACTATAGGACAAAAATTTTGTTTCCTGGGTAGTTTTTGTTGTTGTTGTTCTTATAATGTATCAATATAAATGCAGATGGCTAAGTAAAAAGAAAGTTTCTTCACTTCCATTGTAAACATACACAGTGATTGTGAGATGACTCAGGGATAAAGCGTGCCCCTCTTTTGGTCAGGAAGCTTTGAATGTTTTCAAGTACACAATTAGATCCTATAAATATATATATTTTTTTCTGTTAAAATTAGTTAAAACATTTTGTAGGTCTGAAAGAATTCTAGATGATAATATATCTGCAAGTAGATAGTTGATAAGTTAAAGACTGCCTTGATTTAGATTACAAGGAGGTACAAATTGTTATGACTTCTCCTTACTTGACTGGTGGAGTATTTGAACATCATGTGATGATTTAGACCATTATTTAAATAACACTGTTCATAAACAAGGAGGAATTATGATATAAAACATGATGGCGATATGCATCAGAGTTACCATGCATCTGAATTTGATTTTGAATTCTTTCAGTTTTGGTATTTGTCATTGCTCGCAGATATATCTGTAATCCTCTTCTAAGCCAACATTTTCTCTAGCATACAGTCCATATATTTTAGGGCTAAGTTAAACATTCTGAAGTTGCGATTACTTGTAACTCAGCCTACAGATCATTGCAACTACAGTGAAGATAACTCCACATTCATTATGCTTAACTTCAAATCTTCATAATGAAATTACTCAAAGCTTGGTGGGTTTTGTTTTTCTGTTCTTCTGCATATAATTGCCTTGTGCATGTATCAATAGCTATAATATGTATCTATATGTGCTTGGAAACTATTATACACATTCAGTAGAACATTAGAACCTGAGATGCATCTCTAGTATCTTCACTTTTTCTGGTATTTTTCATGCTTATTTTCTCTTCTCCATGCCCAATGTTCATAACCAGAGCCTGATGACATGCACACTTTTTAAAAGAATGAACAGAAATCCTGTTCCTCTTTGCATCTGAACTGAGAAACCAGTGCATTAGTCAGTTCATAGTTCAGCAGCTGTTTAGTATTCTCCCCATTTTTTTGTTGACCAGTTATATTTGGTCAAATTTATAGATAACCAAACTTATATATGAACTTATATATGAAGCTTTATTCTGGGACTAAGCAGTAAGTTGGTGAGCAAAAGATGCCTTCCTGTTTTATAGGTATTGTTTTCCATCAGGAGGTGCTGGTTCACTGTGAACCCAGTAAGAAAGGCACTCAGACGTAAGGTACCATTTAAAGTGCTATTTATTTGCACTAAGGCTATAAGAAGAGAACAACATAGATAATCTTGTGCCCCTTTAGAAGCTGGGAGCCCCGAGCTGTGTAGCATCGAACAGGACTCTGATCCATGTGCAGCACACCATACAGACCCCATCAATTATTATCCCCTTTTCGTCTTTCAAGCTATTACAGGATTTTCATACAAGAAAACAGCTCTATTTATCATTTATACAGTCAAACAGAATCAATGCTCTTGGGTGAACTTTGTGCTGCACTGTTACATAAAGGCAAAACCACCCAGGCAGTGTAACACCTCCATACACAATGGTCTTCTCGCCAGCATCACAAGTATCCACTTTTTTTCTCTTACTATAGAGATTAGTGCTTTGTTTAAACATAGGGTTCTCCTTGCAGAAAAAAACATGATTCTAGAAATCATTGCATTATATATGATTAGTATCTTATTGCCATACATTTATTTAGACTGTAATTGTGCTACCATTGTACAGTTTAAACATTTCTCTGCAGGCATCTTCATTGATTTCATTCATTCTGTTTCTCTCCTTTTGGCAGTATGCATTGCAACCTCCCAGGGATTTTGTCAAAAGTTATGAATCTCCAGTTCTCACACAGTCTTTGGGTGGAATTGGTAATGCATAGTATGATTAACAGAGTGGGATGAACATGCTAAGAACAAAGGGAAGGGAAGCACAGAGGTTTTTCCCAAAAGCCAAAAGCTGTGTGACTTTTATTTATTTTTTCAGTGATCCCAGATACAGCTGTAAGCAAAGCTAATTATGAAACTGAATTTCAAGATAGTGTTGAACACATTGTTTTCTCCATAACCTTGTCTTGGTGGTTTTACCATTAGATGAAGGAACTTATCTTTCACAAAGACCTGAAAAGTAAAATGCGGCAGGATTAAATCCAAGTGACGGTATTGGTGTTTTCAGCAGGTCCCCCACATGTCAAAAGGAAGATGACAACTACCTGTAGACACTACCAGTCTAAATTAATCAGACAAGGCAGATGAAAAATAAATAAATAAATAATGTCTTAGGTAAACCAATGAAGGTAAAACTCAGCATAGTAAGGGTAAGTTATCTTACTGGGCTTCATGGAAGAAATAAGTTTATGTATGGGCTGCCTCCTTTAATTCTGAATTCTCAGAGTTTAGGAATGATTGTTTACCTGCTAACAGCCTGCAGGGATCTGGTAAAACAGCTACAGCATAAAACTGAAAAATAATTGAAATAAATAAAGTACTACCTGGCACTATCCTTGTTTATTCTGTGCATTTGATATTAACATTCTGATGCCTTATGCTCATAATACATAATAAGAAACAAAAATGTCATAAAATCAATACCTTCTAACAGCAGAGGGAAATGTCACAAATTATCCCATTCTCATTATAGTTTTCAGACAGTAATTTCATAAGCCTCCAAGGGATTAGGAAAGCTAAGTATATTTTTGCTCTACCCTCAGATGTCAGTTTTATTGTACATGATCTAGGCACTGAAGGTTCTCTGTTCAGGAGGAAGTCAGAAATCAATTGTTTTGCCTATGAGACTCTTTTGTGAGGCTGTTAGCTGTCGTTGTAAATGAGAAACTACCAAATTCCATGACCCTGCTTAAATTACTTTGAAATACAAAATTACACTCTAACCTATTATGTGGTACAGAAGCATACTCTATGCTCATACAGAATACAGAACTGTGTTGCTAATGAATAAAATTTGCATGTTCTGAAGAAAGTATTTGAATGAGTTATATATATAGCAGAATTCATAACAGTTCAATATTTCCCTATGATTTTTTTTTTCTTTAAACTGGGCCTTAAAGTCTGATCAACCCTGCCTAGCTAAGCATGAGACTGTCATGACCTCACTGACGGCACTTGCAAATCCAGTACTAATGCTGTTGTAGCGGCAGTTCCAGCACCTAGCCGGAACCTTTAATCTATAAAGTGAGACTGTGCTGTCATCTGTGCATATATTTTACCAAGTTGATTCACTTGCTGATCCTAATCCTCTGATCAACCATGCTTCATACACATCAGTTTGCATTCAGACTCTGCTGTGGAGAGAACCAGATTCAAAATACAGTGAATTACAAAGCCATTCCATATTATCACAGACAATATGGAAGGCCAGGCCCATCTGCATCACTTGGCTTTACTTCTTGTAGTACATAGTAAAAAGAGATGCAGCCACTCATTTCACATAAGCCAGAACCCCAGGAAATTTTATATCACATTAAGAAATCCTGGAAAAGACATTCTGATGAAGTCAAATAGATGCTATGGGCCACCATGCTCTTAAATGTTTCTTTTACCTTTAAAGCTGAATTATACTTAGAAAAATAAAAGCTATGCAAAAACATAAATAAACAAAACCACTAAACTTTGGAGATTGTTCTCATTATATCTACAGATTCAGTACTGCATACTACACATAAAATACTGCCATTGCAGTATTTTAGAAACGGATAATAATACTTTGGGGCTAATCTCCCAAAATAGGAATGAGTGAAATGAGTCTTTCATTGTGAAATATATCTAGTTTTGTTATAATGTGCAAAGCAGGTATTCTTGCCTAATATTATCTCAGATTTCCTCACCAAAATATGAAGCAATGTGAGATATATAAGAACAAAAAGAACATAACTTATACAAATATGAAAAGGTTATGATTTTTAATGGTAACTCCTTCCCAGAAGAAAAAAAAAATATCCAGAGAGTTAAGGATTTATTAGATCGGAGGAGTCTGGAAGTTCAGATGGCTGCATAGTGTTAAAACCATTTGGATGGGATCAAAGATTGTCTGTAAGGGAAAGACTCAATCGATTACTACAGAGAGAATTCACACAGTTCAGCTGAGACTTCCAAATAGCTCTGAAGCTCAGTATAGCACATTATTTCTTTGAAAAGTCCACTTCACAAATAAAATCTATATTAGTAAAATACACATTAGATTTTTATTTTTTCTTTAAGTAATGTTGAAGTACATGGGAATCTATAGCCAAGTTCAGCAGCAAGTCCTCACTGTACATTGTATGGTCAGTCTCCTTTTGTTACATAGATGATGGTGTCTAGCAAGAGGCATGTCTCACTGCCTCAGGCTAGATGTGCACATCAGGCATGCGCCTTTTTAGGGTAAAACCCCAAGTACACTATTCCTCTGCCCTATCAGCTGCCTTATGGGAAGGAAGGAAGTAGTATTCATCTATGAACATGAAGTGAATAATCAGAGCACACCTGGATATGCCTCTGTCCAAAACTTCACCTGTGGAAAGAGAAGCAAAGGCGAACTAATAAAATAATATTCCACTGTGTTTACTATGCTCTTCTGTTAGTACAAAGCATTGAAAACCCAAATTCTAATTTGTTCACCTACAGTGAGACACTTAGATGAAAAAGATGAGTGTAGTCTACAACACAGGTCCTGCCTGTAAGAATAAAGGCTAAGCTCTATTAGTGATGTGAATGAACTGAGAACAAACAAAAAGAGAAATAAGAAATTAGTATCTTTCATTAAAAAATCTGAAAAATATAACCACCCAGTCATTTCTGACATTATTTGCTTAGACTGAATGAATTACAGACATACTAACTAGGCATAGATGACTATAGTAGTGAGCAGAATGGCTCACGATATAATGGCTCAGATGAAAATGACAGCTGTTATCATTAAATTCAGTATTTATGTTTTTCTAGTTAAAACTGATTATTTACAAAAAACAGTAACTCACAGCTGAGAGAAAAAAATACTTTGGTTGTATTTAATTTAGAGGAAACACTGCATGAAAAGCTCCTTTCCTTTCACATGTACATTTTTTCTTATTTTTATTGGTTCCAGATCACCATCTTTTGTTTTTATTTCCCCACGAGTTCATTTCAGGCACGTATGCTTGTGAGGATTTATGTGCCACAATATATAAAAAGGTCAGAAAATATACTCAAACAGAGGGAGCAAAAGGGATGACCTATATGTTTTATTTTACAGATAATTCTGTAAGTTACTGAAATCAGCCCAGGAAGGCACCCCACTTTCAATTCTGTCCAAGACTTTTTGTGGAGGTATCTCCTATGTATGTGTATCACTTTGTCTATGGAAACTTTTATGAGTAATGAAGGACCATTTTGCACAAAGGAGAAAAAGATACAAACAATCTCTCTCATTATGCATATCTCCCTTATACATGCCGGTGTGTGAAATCTAGGCCATAATAAACTGTTGCCATTGGCTTTGATTTTGTGTGGTGTGCTTGCCCACTGTCAATGCTATCCAAGAAGCCAGTCTTTCTGATGTAATTATATGGTATGGCAGATAACAGAACTGGCCTGCATTACAAAGACACTTATATTACACACACTCCTTCTAAGTGTGGCAGAGCTACCTCAGGGCAACATCCTTCAGGAATGCTGAATTTTTATTCATTATTTTTATTTTTTCTTTAAGCTAGGGTTGGGTTGGGGTTTTTGCTCAGGCACTTGGCAGCACATCAACTCCAGAAATTGTGCCATTTTCATGACCTTTAGATTCTAAACTAGGTAAAGTTTGGATATCCTGGTTTCCTCATTTCTCTGTATTAGTTTCTTTCCCCTCTTCTGATTGTATTAGATATATATATAGTTTTCATTCAGACTATAACCCCAGGATTTATCAAATGAAATATTGTTTGTTCGGCTTGGGATTTACAGTCTTAGATTTGTTGCTTATGTCCTGAAAGTATTCCTGCTGAATGCTGACTTATTATTCTTTAAAAAAATGTTTAAATCTTCATTATGTCACGCAGTTCATGAGCAAAAATAGGTAAAGCACAGCATATGAATAGATGTACATAGTGATAAGATAAACATAATTTCCTCGAGGTTGAAAGTTTTGATGGCTTAACATCATATCAAAAAGGACTTTGAATAAGCTTATGTTTTTGTTTTCTTTGAGCTTGCTTTTGATGATTATTTCTGCTGCACAAGAAAAATACATAATTAGTGTTTATTTTCAACATGACTGACACCTGTAGAGCATGGACGGATCGGCTGTGCAATTACGTCAATGGTGTGCATTGACCTTGAATTTTAGGAAGGCCAGCTGCTAGAAAAAGAAATCTTCAATTTCATTGACTCATTAAATTAAACTCATTTTAACAAAAATAATCATTGGTGAATCACCATATGTTCTTGAATTTTAGGAGACTGAGAAGATTTTTAAATAATCTGAGTTTGGAACTATTCTTTTGAACTAGAGTTCTTTCAACATTTCCATTTAATCTACATTTGCTATCAAGTTAAACATAAAGTTTTGAAATAGCAGGCAAAAACAGGTAAAAATAGGAATTATGCTGTTTGCCAGCAGATATAAAGATATAAATAGTAATTTTAGTCTTTTTTTTTTTTTGAAGTACTTTAAAATCATATTATAAAAAATAAAAATATAATGACCACAGTAAATACATAAGAAAACCTATGAGGTTGCAGAAATAATGCAAAGTTTTCCATATTGTGTCCTGAATTAAATGTAATATAAGTTTTAGAGTTGTTGAATATGATTCAAAAATGGAGAGGAGATGAGCAACAGAATCTGCTGTAAGAGATAAACAAAATCTTGGTTGGAAGAAAATCCAGACGAATAGGGGCACCATCTGTTCTCCTGCAGTTGTTCTGACATTCATCACTAAACAAATTATGGCTACTAAAGTGCAGATGCAGAAATCACATCATGCAGAACACAGAGAAATGGGTAGCCTTTGACCCAAATGAGAATATTTCCCTGTGCCCAATACCACCTCCTTTTCCTCTACCCATCCTCCTATGAATCTTCTAGGTACACAAATTTTTCACATTTTCATATTCTAGAAAGCTCTATCACTGTTCATGAATTTAAATTAAACAAC